TCAATTTCCTATATATGATTTTACTATTATTTATGATATTAATAACTAATATTGAGAGTAAATGTGTCAACAAACATCTCACAGGACTTATGAGAACATAAGTTTTTTAGTAGGATCATATGTAGCATAAATCTCCCTAATAGGATTTATAAATAATTTTTCCTAGATTTTTCAAGAATAAAATCGTCAATTTAATAAAATATAAATTAATTTGATAAAAATAAATGTCAAAAAAATATTTTTAAATTTTTAAAAACTATTTCTACTTACCAATGATAAAATTATTGAAAATTGATAAACTTTTAGACATTTATTTATTTATTTTACCAAATTAATTTTTGTTATATGTTTAGATGATGATCATATAATAGGTAGTTGTTAAGTTTTTAATATATAATCGATATATTTAATATATTAAATGTTTTTACTTTTAGATTTTTTGATTTAATGAATTGGTTTAATAATGGTATTAAAGTTGTCGCCATATTTGATTTTTGAAAAAAAAATAGAAAATAAAAACAACAACAACCACCCATTACATGATTATCAACCAAATACATAATAGAAATTAATTTGGTAAAAAAATTAAATAAATGTTTAAAAGATTTATTAATTATACATAATTTCATTTTTAGTAAGTAGAAATAATTTTTAAAAATTCAAAAATATTTTTTGACATTTATTTTTGTCAAATTACTTTATATTTTATTGAATTGACGATTTTATCCTTAAAAAATCTAATGATATATTCAATTATTTTTATTTGAAATAAGATTTAAAATTTATGGTTTAATATATCACAATTAAAAAATCAATGATCAAAATTATACAAATCCTAAACTATAGAAATCGTTAATATAATTCACCATTAATTTATAAGTAGAATAAAAAGATGTACTTCTCTCTAACTACCCAATTGTTGGAGTTATTTTGAACTTATTTTAGATAATGGTCGCTCTCTGTATACATTTTTTTTTTAAAAATAATAATAATATTTTATTTTTTTCCCCCCCAAAATCACTGCCATGAGCAAAACTTGTGAAGAAATAGATGAAACAAAGATTGGGAAAAAATATGAATAGAGGGTAAGATTGGAAAAGAGACAAATATAATCTTAATCCTACAATGATAACTTTTTCTATTCAGTGCAAAACAAACAATAGACGAGATTATTTACCCACTAATCCAATTGCAAAACAAATTCCACATTAATTTTAGTGTAAATTATAAATACATCCCTAAATTTTGTTTAAAGTACAGTTTACTCCCTGTGATTTTGAAAATTACAAATACTCTCTTGTCAAAAATTTTTACTTAACAAAATTAACTAAAAAAATAAAATTCACAATTGCTCTCTAATACAATAATAAAATTACCTAAATTATTAATTGAAACATATTTCTAATATCATTAAAAATGGTTCATAGACTTCATGATTTATTAATAAAAAGGGTAATTTTTTTTATAAAATTAGAAACCTCAAAGGGTAGAATGTAATTTCTAAAATTACAAGAGGTGATTCGTATTTTAATCAAACCTTAGGGGGTGTATTTATAATTTACCCTCAATTTTTATGGGATTGTTAATATCCTCACTATTAGTTCTTTCAATCAAATAAAGCCTAAATTTAAGAATTTGAGAGATTTGTAAAGGTCACTACTAGTTTTGTTTCAATATTTTGAACGGTATTGGGTGTTTAAATATCATTATTTTTTTAACAAACAATCACATTTGGTAACTTATATTTTCAGTAAGATTATTAATATGTGTACAATTATTCTTTATAAATTACTCTTCTTTTTTTTTCTTTTTTTCTCAGGTTGCATATCTATCAACTATTTTTTATACCTCACCAACGATAATTATTTAGTATTTTAAAAAGTTGCATAGTCACTTGGCTACGCAATAATAAGGAACATACAATTATTTTAAGAACAAAATCCTCACTATAATATATAAAAGTTTTAGAAATTAAATTTTTTTTGTCTCTAAAAATATAAATTTTGTTACAAAAAATATTTATGCCACATCAATCCAATGCTCCAATTCACCTCCATCCACTCAAACCCCGTCAACACCACCACATGGGTGAAGGGGGTGATTGTCACAACCCAAACACGTCTCTATGGGTTTAGCATCATAACCGGCCAGTAATCCTAAGATTACCCAAGGCCTCTAAACATATTGATTTAATAATAAAGGGGCTACAGAAGCAGATATGAAAAACACATAGTCCATAGAGCTGTGCAGACATACATAAGACACAAAAATTTAAAACATGTACATGAACCTATATATGACGTCATATACATAACAATTCCACATTGTTATAATACGCAAAATAGGACAAAAGAACTGTTACGAAACCACAAAAGTCTAACTCTTATAACTCGGTTCACAAAACTCGACCACTAAACTCTTTTTGGAATCTCCTTGGGAGGCACAGCGGTTGGCCGACAAAACAGACCTCCAGGCAAACATCACTGAGCTTGGTCACGTGTTGGTCACCTATGTACATAAATAATACAGTGAGCTGGAGCCCAGTGAACAATGACAAAGTAAAAATTTTAATGAATGAGATCCGTAACAGACTTAGATTTCCAGAACAGAAACATCAGCATGTTCGTATCATACAGAGTCATATTCATATTCAAATCATGCATGGTACATCCATTAGCATTAACATATCTCTTTGGTCAAGCATATTAAGTTTCATAAAGGAACCTCTAGTACCTGGTAACATATCTCATACGTGGGCCACGGTATTATTTCCCCTGGTGAGGGCTTGGGCACAGTATTATTTTCCTTGGATGAGGGCCTTATGACGATAAGCCATAGTATTATTTCCCCTGGGCGAGGTAAGGATATAACAAAGACATTTCAAAGAATTGAATCATCATTCATGTAATCACAAAATAGCCTTTTCTATCATTTAGAAGCAGTTCATATCATATCATAATGTTCAAAAAGTATTTCATATTGAACATAGCTTTACTAAGTTATTACTCACAGATAGTTTCACAAATAGCTTCGATAGCAAACTAATGGATCGACCGCTCACGGCGCGTGACCTACGCAAACATAATAGATACACATATTGAAACACAAGGTTGGATAATGCTTAACTTATTTCGTTTTGTTCTTAGTGTGTTTCTAAGTCTCATCCTCATTATTGTGTCTTAACTAAGGCTTAAGAATACTAAGGATGTAATGAGGTTGCCAAAATGCATATGAAAACACTTAGTTAGATTCACGGAAAACAGGGGCTTCACTCGAGCACAACTTCTTTCACTCAAGCGAAGGTTAAAAAATAAAGGTGGTCGGTCGAGCGCAACTTCAGTCGCTTGAGCGGTTTGTAAACTCTGCAAAAGTACTGGTTGCTTGATTTTTTCACTCGACGCACGCTCGACGCGAGACTGAGGTCTTCGCTCAAGCGCAACTCTAGTCGCTCGAGCAAATTTACGCTTGAACCAATTTTTGATCTCTTGTGCGGAAGTGCAAAACAAAGAGAATCCAAATTCTTCCTTAAAATTGTTAGTTACAACTCAACGCAGTTATGATTAATTACTCACATTAATTTTTTAAGTTTAATAATTAAAATTAAAATTAAAATTAAAAATGCATACATAATATATAATCTTTTACAAAAATGTTATAAATTATGAATTTTTATTTTAAAATTTATCGTGAAAGTTAGATGTATGATGTAAATTTAAAATTAGTGAAATACTGACAATGAATGTGGTCTATAGATTTACTCTTCTAAATAAATAGTATTGTTAAATTTTTTCAAGATCCAAAAAAATTGGCTTGGTTTGGCAACACAAAAAATAAGCAATTTATTAGTTTATTAGCTTTTTATTTATTTAGATCATATCATCTATTTACTTTTTTACACATCTTTTCATAATAAATAAAAAAATAAAAAATAAATAAATAAATAAACATTTCCAAACCAAGCCTAGACTTCTAGAAGTCACTTAATTTTACTCGGAGTGAGTTGATACTTAATGTGTCAACACTTTTTTTTATTTAAATTTGATATAAAAAAAAATTAAGGATTGAATGCCAATTTTTTTTTTTTTTTAATTTTATACCTAAATTGGTTAAATGAGATTTTTGAAATAGATGAGGCATTTTCAAGAAAAAAAAAATTAATGAAAATTTTAATTTTTATTATTGGAGTTAGTTATATCAAATCAATTTTTTTTTTATCTAAATTGGTAAATAATTTTTTTTATTACAAAAAAGTCAAAATTGAAGAATCCAACTCATTTATTAGAGCATCTCTATCAAACTTATTATTTTCAATTTTCAGCTAAAATAGTTAGTGTATAACTAAATTTTACCTCCACCAAACTAGCTATCAAGTTAATAATTTTAGTTTTAGTGATTTTGGCTTAACAAATGTAGCTAGTGGTTTCACCTGGTCAAATATTAAAAAAATATTATTTTTCATATTTTGAAATTAATTGTGTTGAATTTATAAAAACTAATTCTAAATAAAAATGAATAAAAATAATATAAAAAATAAAGAATTTATTGAACAATGTATTTAAAAATGTCTAAACCAAAATATAAAATCAAAAAAATTAAATCAAAATATAACAAATTTTTAATTAATACAATAGAGATGCTTGAATTGTTCAAAGTCTCTAGCATTACTGAGGGTTTATTTGGCGTCAAGCTTTGAGTTGGGTTTGGGTTATTTTAGTCGACAAAATAGATTTTTTAACCTAATAAGATAAAATATCATATTCAAATCATAATCATTTCATTTTTTCTCTTATAAAATTTATAAAATTTATCATAAACAAGACTTTTTAATACCAAACTAAAATAATTAAAAAATCAAAAAAATCAACTCACTTTCAAACGAAAGCTTAATAAATCAATCCAACTAACCGCTGACAACGCGAGTCATGATCCCAAAAGTCAGCTCTTTTTTTTTTTTTTCTTACACAATTATTTTTTCAAATCTCCACTCTATATATGTAATCACTATCGCTTCAAGTGAAAACATCACAAAGACTAGAGAGACTTAGAGCACAAAAGAGTTGTGCAGAGAAATAAAAAAATGGAGACGAAGGAAAAGAATCCCAACAACAAAGCCCCTCATGTCCTAGTCCTCCCCTTCCCAGCCCAAGGCCACATCAACCCAATGCTCCAATTCTGCAAACGTTTAGTCTCCAAAAACATCAAAGCCACTCTCGCTAACACCATCTCTATCTCCACCTCCATCCACTCAAACCCCACCAACACCACCACCACCACCACCACTTCCCCAATCGATGTCCACACGATCTCCGACGGCTACGACCACGGTGGCCTCGCTAAAGCAGAGAGCCCCGCCGCCTACTTAAAAAAATTCCGAGTGGTTGGGTCTCAAACTCTGGCCGATCTCATCAACAAACTAGCCCATATAGGCCACCCTGTGGATGCTCTAGTTTATGATGCGTTTTTGCCATGGGCACTTGATGTTGCAAAGCAATTTGGAATAGTTGGAGCAGTGTTCTTCACTCAATCTTGTGCTGTTAATAGCATATATTATCATGTCTATGAGGGGATTCTTTCACTTCCTCTTTCAGGGGAGACTGTTTTGGTTCCTGGATTGCCACAGCTTCAGCCATGGGAGTTGCCTTCGTTTGTGTATTCATATGGGTCGTATCCTGCTTTCTATGACATGCTTATCAATCAGTTTTCTAATATTCAGAAAGCAGATTGGGTCTTTTTCAATACTTTCTACCAATTAGAGGAAGAGGTATGCATAGTTTTTTCAGAGTGACAGTTTTCAAGCTATTATCAACATTTTTTGGTATAGAAAATTCATAACATCTTACATTATTTTCAGCCTTCACTTATCGCCTCGTTTGAAAAGTAGACTATTTTAATTTTTAACTATTTTAGATTAAAATTTTTGTATTTAAAAAGAAGTTTAGATTTTTTTTTTAATTGAATGTGATGTTTGTGAGAAAAAAAGTGAAATGATTATGGGTTTAATAAAAAATAAAAATGGGCGCTTCACTTGCGAGAAGAGCTTGGATTAAAAGAGATATTATGAGTGTTTGGGAAGTTGCTATTTTAGTAGACTATTTTAATTTTTAACTATTTTAAATTAAAATTTTTGTATTTGAAAAGAAGTTTAGATTTTTTTTAATTGAATATGATGTTTATGAAAAAAAAAAGTGAAATGATTATGGGTTTAATGTGACAATTTGTCTTATTAATTATTTTAATCTATTTTATCTTTTTTTTTCTTTTTTTGGTAGATTTTAATCCCAAAAAAACCAAAAATTCACTTGCTAAACAGCACCTATACATATCGTAGATATATGTATGGACTAATAAGTCATTTAAACAATTTGGAGAAAATTTTAAGGGTTTATCTTTTATAAATTTGACTGTAACATAGTCAAACCAATCTATAAAGTTTATTTAAAAGTAAGCACCGGTTACAGTAGACATAACATTTCTCTATCACAATAACTCATGAGATGACAATGACATGAGCACCACATGACGAATATGGTTCAAGACTTCAAGTCCTCTCATCCACAAGATGAATATGCAATCAACTAACCATATTTCTTGAAATAGAGACCACCCAAATGCCTAAATATGGTTTTATTTGATTGAAAAATAGAGACCACCCAAATGCCAATTGATAACATTATTTTAAAATTTTATAGAAATTAAGAAGTAAAATAGCTGCCTTTTTTTCTTTTTTTTTTTGGCTAGCCATAGTCAATTTACACTTTTCAAAATTATTAAAGGGGTTGACATTTAATATAAAATGGTTTATTCTCTTTATTATTATTATTATTATTATTATGGTCTTAATTTTTGTTCAAATTCTTAATGGACATTTGGAATTGGACTAATTGGGACTAATTGGAACGCATAAAATATTATTGAGCAAAACAAATACAATTAAAACTATAGGAATTAAATTGACACAAGAAGAAAATTACAGTAACCACCTTTTTGTTAATAATGAGATTCATTTTTTTTATTTTTTATTTTTTTTAAAAAAAAAGGTGTATATCATGATTCCTTTTATTCTTGTTCTCATCTAACATTATTAATCGCCCTTTGTGTTAAAAAATAAAATAAATAAATAAAAAATAGATAAAATAAATAAATAAATCCTTTTATTCTTGTTCTCATCTAACATTATTAATCGCCCTTTGTGTTAAAAAATAAATAATAAATAAAATAAATAAATAAATGAAGGTTACACCAATGGTGTGTTACTTGCTAACTACAATTTTGTTTTGATCTTAAATTTGTGGACTGATTTGCATTGAAAAAAAAAAATTCCTTTCGTTCTCTATTTCCTCTCTCATTCTAATCAAAATTTAATATGAATTTGGATACATTTCTAGCATACATTGTTTTGTATCTTAAATTAGGTAGCAGATTGGATGGCGAAACTTTGGCGAGCGAGGACAATAGGCCCAACAATTCCATCAATGTACTTAGATAAGCAACTCAAAGATGACAAAGACTATGGTATCAATCTCTTCGACCCAAACTCCAATGCATGCATCAACTGGCTCAATGCTAAGCCTATCAACTCTGTAATTTATGTGTCCTTTGGGAGCATGGTAGAAATTGGATTCGAACAAATGCAAGAAATAGCTTCGTGTTTGAAGGAAATCGAATACAACTTCTTGTGGGTTGTGAGGGGATCTGAGGAGGCCAAGCTACCAAACAAGTTCGCGGACGAGACATCTGAGAAGGGCATGGTGGTGACATGGTGTCCACAACTAGAGGTGTTGGCACACGAGTCAACAGGGTGTTTTGTAACACATTGTGGGTTCAACTCTGTTCTCGAAGGGTTGGGCTTGGGAGTGCCTATGGTTGCGATGCCACAGTGGACGGACCAGAGTACAAATGCCAAGTATGTAGAGGATGTGTGGGGTGTAGGGCTTAGAGCTAGGTGTGACGAGAAGGGAATTGTGAGAAAAAAGATGTTGCAAGAATGTATAAGGGAGGTGATGGAAGGAGAGGGAGCAAATGAAATAAAGAAGAATGTGATCAAATGGAAGAAATTAGCAAAAGAGGCGGTTGACGAAGGTGGGAGTTCAGATAAAAATATTGAGGAATTTGTAGCTGAATTATTATGCTCCTAGTTGTATTATTGAATTGATTTCCTCTCAAATAAAATATGGCAATATATCTCTTTGGAAATGTTAGCCATTGCCAAAGTATTCATTAGCGTTCATTTAAGTGTAAAAAATGGTATAGAATTGTGTGAAAATGTTAAAAAAAAATAGGTAAAAGTACTTGAGAATGTTAAAAAAAAAAAAAAAAAAAACAAACTAAAAAAAAAAAAAAAAAAGGGCAGACCTGTCACTTAAAGGACAGGAGGAGGAGGGCACATGTCCCTTCTCCAGTTCTGAAAATTTTACTTTTACCTCTAATTTAAAATTAATTTTCAATTAGTTCCATTGAAATTTCAAGTATAATTTTCAATTAATTCCTTTGAAATTCCAAGTATGTCTCCTAAATCTTTATATCTCTTATTTTCCTTTTCTTTTTTTCTTCCTTCCAACAAAATCCATATAATTTGTTACTGTCAATGTTTAATTATTAAGTTTAATGATTAAAATATTATTTTTTTCGTTAGCTTTACTTAACGAAAATATATGGATGTTTTAAATTAAAAACAAATTAAAAAAATTAGAATTTAAATTGAAAAATTTTAAACTCAAAATTTATTTTTTTAATTTTCCCTATATTATTTCTCTTTTTTCTCATTTCCTTTTCTTTTGTGCGTATATCATTTTTTATAGAGATGTGTGATTGTATTTTAAATTATGATGATAATTCTATTTAAAAATTAAAATAGAAATCAAATTAATAATAAAAAATTAACAAAAATAAAATAAAATTGATCAGCTAATTCAAGTATAACTCTACAGTGGTGCTAGAGACCACTAATTTAGTGGCTCTAAACCCACCATTAATGTGGTGGCAAAAAAAAAAAAAGACACAGTACATACTGTGGCACACATCATTAGCGGTAACTCTAATTGGAGCTCCCACTCATTTTCTATAACTCTAACATAAAATTTTAACAATTTATTCTACTCGTACTACCAGATGAAAATCGGATTTGATTGAATTGTGATAAATCTCATTAAGTTTCAACTGAATGTTGTCCATTTCTAATCAAAATCTTGACTCCAACATTAATAAAAAGTGCATTAGAAAGAAAAACTATAAAAATATATAAATCTTGAAAGCTTATCTCACTAAATTGGGTAAGTTACACTTTACTCCTTTATGTTTGATCATTTTTTTACTTTGCTCCTTCGTATTTCAAATTTTTCCTAATTTATTCGTAAAGTTAAGTTATGTTCAAAATTAGACGAAAAAAGTCATGTTAATAACCATCTGACATAAAAAAAAATATATCACTATATTAATATTTAAGTTTGTGTCAGATATTTGAATTATATATAATAAAATATTTTTATATCATGTGACTGTTAATATGTTATTTTCTATTTAATTTTGTACATAAATTAACTTTTGAAGTAAATTAGGAAAATTTAAAACATGAAGAGTCAAATTAAAAACAAAAAATTAAAATTAAAATAGAAAAATAGTCAAATATATAAAGGGCAAAATGTAATTTATCTACTAAATTTGATACTTTTCAATTGAGTTGGATTTCAAACGACGGTCATTCAAAGCCATCTTTGTTATGCCACCAACTCTCTAATTAATTGGAATTGAGTTGGACTTCAAATGACGGTCATGCAAAGCCATCTTTGTTATGCCACCAACTCTCTGGTTAACTGGATGATAGTTTCAACTAAGTTTCTCCAAAAAAAAAAAAAAAAAAAAACTGCTACATATAATTGCCGTGAGTGACGTCAAAAATCTGCTAAAACAAGTTGGAGTAATTATTTGGTGTGGACATTCACATTATTTATTGGTGTAGACTAGATACCGCACCAATAGATGGTGTGTGATGATGTGGGTCTATGAATTGAACTGGAATGATCAGGTAGTTGCCTGGTGATCATCTCTTACTAAGGCTTCGTTTGGGAACAGGTTAATTTAGTAATTTTTTAATTATTTGGCTAAAATATGAGCTAAAAAAAATTAGTATGTTTGGGATGACTTTTTGACTTTTTACGAAAATATGTGTAAAAAGTAAAGAGAAAAGAAAATCTTTGACTTTTTGGTATAAGTTGTTGGTTTTTTTACTTTTTTAATAATTTTTTTACTAAACCGGCTTGTTGCCAAACGAGGCCTAAGTTGATCTACATCAATAGATACATAGTGATAGGCCTATATCTCATGGGCTTTGAGTAGGCCAACCTCTTCATGCCTGGGCCCAAAATGGCTTCATATCAGGCTAAATATATATACTTAGGCCAAGTTTGGCTACAAAGGAAAAAGTGCACTTATTTCATCTTTTTATCTTTTTTGGGTCACATCAATCAACATCTCCTCTCTACTTTTTCTACACATAATATAAAAAAAGTCAAAAAGTGCACTTATTTAGTCTTTCCAAACTAGGCCTTACTCATCAATGCGGTTGCTATATATGCTAATGACACACAAAATTAAACAATTCTATGCACAATATTAAATAATTTTTTCAAAAATACTAAATTGACCATTTACTTTTGTTATTAGATGTGGCACATTTTATAACCTTCAAATATTAATATTACGCGAATGGTGAGAAGAGAGATGTTGGGGCATGCATAAGGGAGGTGATGGAAGGAGAGTGAGGAAATGAAATAAAGAAGAATGTGATCAAATGGAAGGAATTGGCAAAAGAGATGGTTGACGAAGAATGGAGTTCCCATAAAAAAATTATTGAGAAGTTTGTAACTGAATTAGTGTGATCCTAGTTGTAGTATTTGAATTATTTTTTTCCTAAATAAAATTTGTCAATATATCTTGGCAAATGCTAGCCATTGCCAAAGTGGTCATTAGTGTCCATGTAAATGTCAAAATTGTACGGAATTGTGTGAAAAATGTTAAGACGTGTTTAGAAAAAATAATTATAAATAAATGATAAATATAATAAATATTAAAAGTTATAATTATAATTTTTTTATAAATTTATAATAATTTTTTTTGAAAAATAACACTAAATTGTAATTCCGGTTTGAAGTCAAGCATGGTTAGTAATATAGAACTTCGAATTCAGTCTAGATTTTGATATAATTTGTGTACTCTTTTTTTTTTTTTTTAAAAAATGAATTTTTTTGGAAGAAAATAAAAAGTCAGCTTTTAATTTTTTATTCATTTTGAGTCACATCACTTCTCATATTTTTTATCTATAAAAAGACAAAATAGACTAAAAAAACTAAAAAATTAACTTTTTACTAATTTCCCAAAACACTCCAAAATGCCCAATGGGCTATATAATTTGTGTACTTGACTGTATAATTTGCTACCACAGACGAGGAAGACAAGTTTTGATACAAGTTAGAAGACCACACATAAAGCATAGATCATTGCACAAGTTGTTTTTTTTTTTTTTTTTTGGTAAAAAAATTACAGAATAAGAAAATAAAAAATAGCTAGAAAATTAATTGGGTGACCCAAATTTATTTTGAATGTATCTTGTTACACTAAATTTGAATCCACATTGAATATTTATCAATTGTGGTGCAATTTTTTTCTAATTACATAATTTCTTTCTTGATTTATGAATGCTTGTATGGTTACATAATGTGTATTTACCATCATTTTTTTTACTAAAAAAAAGCATGCTCTGCGAGGATATTATTGTATCTGTAAGTCTTAATTCTGGAATAATTGATTGTCAATCAGATTTAACCCAACTGATAAAAAGAGATCCACCATCGGAGCACACAATAAACCTCACTCGCATGCCATAATAAAAAGTAAAATCTCAATTAAAATACAATGCAATAAATCGAATTTATTTGTGCCCTGAGATTTGAGCTCTACCCTTTTGTGTGGAAGGCAGGTGCCTTATCCACTTGGAAGTTGGCAGGTGCCTTATCCACTTGCAAGTTATATGTACCGTGCCATCATTTGAAAATGAATTTTGGGATCATTTGAAAATGGGTTTTGTGAAATTACTTTAAACTTATTCAGTGCTGTCTGTCTTCAAAATTTATACTGATCACACAACCATGAACTCATGTTTAGCGCGTGACCACACTCAATTATAGTATTTTATTTTTGATTCGATCAATCTGAAGTTGGAACTAGCTAGGAACCATTAAGCAACCGCAGTCAAAAGGGTCTCCCGACATTCAAACACAAGACAATCACCCCCATAAAAATAAGCAAATACGTATAAATGCATTTATATAAACACACATTTTAATATGAAAATTAATTTACACAAACACAAATTTCATACCCAAAAAAAAATCAATCAAAATAATACGGCGATAACATTCTTGAAAAACTATAATTATAGACATATTTGTTTACAATAAAAAAAAAAAAAAAAATTATAAAAGATGGGTTTTCTTTTTTTTTTTAATAACCAAAAATCATATCTTAAGTAGGATTTTTTAGACCCACCTTAGATGGGTAAACTTAACAAAAATGATAGAGACTGCCAATTTTTAGGACCATTACAACTCTCAAAGTGATTCATACTATTTATGATGTGGGGCCCACACATATATAAGTGGTGTAGATCACTTTGACAGCTGTGGAGATATCTAAAAATGAATAGAATAGATAAGCGTCGAAATTAATTGGACAATTGGGAAGCAAACATACGTATCATCAGGAACAAACATTATATCATTCTATATATAAATTTTATGCACAGATTTTATTTTTAAATCATTAATATTTTAATATATAACTCATTAGCTAATACTAAGTGATTACAACAACCACTCATCCAAAAGTCCAGGCCGTTGTGGCCAAAAGTTCACGTGAAATGTCACTCAAATTTGTAGTGATGGCCACCACCACCGTCACCCCACCACCACCCCACCACCAATTTTGGCAGTTGTGGAGAGAGCCATGCATGCACACATTTTCTGTCTATCTCACACGTGTCTCTCCCTGACATAGACACTGGACATTAACACGTGTGGCCACGCCCATGGAAATGTTGACTTCGACTCCCCCAACCCCAACCCCACCCACACGTGAGGCATATCTACCTTGTTTTCTTGCCGGGCCCCCAAATACCAACAGGCCCATTCGGCCCAGTCTGGGCCCAATACATTGTCATCAGCAGTAGTATTTTTT